TTTTCTTTTTTTTTTTTTTTTTTTTCAAAAATTTTTCCAAAAATTCCCCCCCCCCCCCCCCCCCCCGACCAACCACATGACCTCTTTTCCTTGAATCGGCGAAAAACCTTTGGTTTTTGTGAAAATTTGTTTTCCAGCTTTACTTTTTCTTTTTTATTATTTTTTTTTTGGCAATTGGAACAATATTTATCCACAATTATAACAAATTTTATCCATTTAATTGAGAATTTTCATGAAAAAAAATCAAATGAACATCAAAAGATTCAAAATTTCAACATTTTCCAGGTGGAAAATTCTACCAATCAAATATATTTAATTGACAATTCCCGTTAAAACAAGTTTTAGGCAATTAAATTCCCTGAAATTCGTTTTCTTTTCATCCAAATTCCATTCTTACAATGAAACGGACCCTAAAATCCGTGAATAGCAAATGCAACAGTATAAGCATGGAAAATCAAGAAATAAAGAAAAAAGAAAGAAACAAGAAAGAGAAGTTAAATGTTATTGTCAGTAAAGTCTAAGATACAGTATCCTTTCCTAGCATAAAACCTTACCAGCTAAAAAAATAATTTGCCAATTAAGATAATGTGATCAGGATAATCAAAATAGTCCAAACTGTATTTAACATCTATGACAAATAAGACAATGCGTGTGTGGTGATAAACCAAAGCATCACAAAGGAGAATAAAGAATTATGGTAGCCCAGAGATGAAGCACCTGAACCATCACAATAGCCTTTACACGATTTCTACCTCGTGCAATCCTGTTGTTTCTTTTGCACCTCTCCATTGGCTAAAGCAGTGTACCCATCAAGGGCACCAAGTTCTTTCATGTCTTCCAAGAATGCCATGTACGAGTCATCAATACCCTGTGGTTTTGGTGTAGATGATAAGCTACTGGATTCTTGCCTCACAACAGATGCAGCTGCAGGTGGCCTGTTGGTTGCCACAGCAGTTGACGGCTTTGTCTTTGATTTTGGAAGCACGGACTCTCTCCTGACTCGTACAGATGCAGGAACCTGCAGATAAAGTACGAAGAAGCTTCAGGATAGAAAGGGTATGTTACTAACCTGCATAGAAAGCAAGATGCTAATTCCTTCGTTTTAAGAGCTATGCAAAGTAGTACATGACTCTGTATACATGTAGTGTGCGTGCACAAGATTAGGTCATAGGTGTCTGCAATGTTATATCTATTGTTTGCTTGGCCTTACAGCTCTTCATTCGAGTTTAAAAGAATTTATACTGCATAAACTTAAGTATTTCTACTAGAGAAATTTTAAGGCTTCCAGTGTTAATGCTTGGCTGATAAATTGAACCAAATACCTCAATCATTCCTTGAATAGTTTTAAATAATAAAATTGAAGGTTTTCAACCAGCCTGGTAAAGAAACACCTAATTTGATAATTTTGACGAGCTGAAATGTCAAATAGTAAACTACTCAGCACCATCAGATTAACCCAAGCATGGCTCATATAATGAGCAAAGAGATGAATAAAGAGATCAGAAAACAAGAAAGATCAGAGAGAATTGTAGTTCTATCTAAATGAGTTTCTCTTCTTCAACCCCTAGGCCCTAACTGTTGTATGAGTTTTGAGAAGCTACGTGAAAAATTCAGATAAGAAGAAATTCAGAGAAGAAATCCCAGAAAATCATAAAAAATAACTTGTTAAAGTTGTATTCTTTAATGAAAAAGAATGCGGATGATAAAAGAGTAGAGATTTGTAGTCAATACAAGGAACATAAAATTTGGGACTGTGAACTATGTATCCGTACTAAAAGTAGCCAGTCAATATGAGGTACGACTTTTGCCCTAGGATCTGCAAAGTGAATTTTACCAACAATTTCAATAACAACGAAAAATATAACCAGCAAAGAGAGACTCACCATAGCTGTAAGCTCTGGAGTATGTTGTGCCAGAGGCCTCTTTACAACAGTTGATGCAGCTGATTTGACATATGATGGCTTTGGAGGGGCAGGTTGTCTAAAAGCAAGGTCCCCTTGTGGGATAAGTGGTGAACCAGGTGGAAGTTGTGGTATCATCATAGGAGGTGGTCCAAAAGGTGGTAATTGCATTGGTGGGACCATGACTCCTGGTGGGGCAACTTGCCCAGGAATTCCAGGAGGGGGTAATGATGGCCGCATATCAGGTGGAGGTGGAGGAAAACGTAAAGTGCTTGGAGGCAGTACATCAGCCTGCAAATTTGGGACCATGGCTGGTCCAGGCACTGGAGGCTGTTGCCTTATTGGTGGTGGAGGAACCATTTTCGAGAGATCTTTGCTCTCAGAAGAAGTTTTGAAATCAGATTCCGAAGATGCGTCTTCTGACTGATCATTGCCAAACTTCGGTTGCAACCCTGGCAGTGGAGGTGGAGGTGGAGGTGGAAGAAGCATGGTTGAAGCCTATCAAGACCATCAATACGTTAAGTCTTATCGTCTAAAACGAAATTATTTGAAGAGACTACTTTAATTAGATGAATTGTTCCATCAATTCTATACTTCTTTCCTTTGCTAGATAACTAAACCTGCCCTAATTCCTTCCAGATCCTGACATTTGTTTTTAAATGCTCTCAATTGATTACTTAAGTGAATGAGAAGCATACATAAGTTGAATCTCTGAAGGCTTCATCATCTGACTTTGCAGACTGACCTCTCTCCTTTTCACTCCCAACAGTCCCTGGAGGAGGTGGTTGAACAGATTGCTTGAGGGCCGGGGGTGGAGAAAGTGGAGGCCGAGTTGCAAGTAGTTCTTTTGGTGGGGGGCCAGGAGGAGGTGGAGGCAGTGGAGGTAATGGTGTAGTGAAGTCTGTCATTGTAGGCTTTGGAGGCATTGGGGGTGGAGGGGGTAAAGGCGAAGATGCAGGCATAATGATGACATCTCCAGCATCTAGGCCAGCACTAGGCATAGGAGGTGGGGTGGAGGGGGGACAGTTAAAGAAGCATCCTCTGATTCAGACATCAATGATGATGCAGCATTACTGGATGAAGCTTCCCGTAGGGGTGTCCTAGGTCCTGCATGTCAAAGTAACAAAAAGCAGAGTAAGAGAAGGGGTGGGGGTTGGGCAGTGTGCATGATGATTAGCCGAACCGAGCCGAGTCGAGTCGGTTGGCGAGTCAAAACTTGAGGCTCGAGCTCGGCTCGGTTAAAATTGTCGAGCTTTTTTTTGGGCCCGAGGCAGGCGGAACAAAAGCTCGTCCAAAAATTTTAGGCTCGACCCGAGCTATCGGCTTAGGCCTTTCTGAGCCGAGCCGGACCGGGCCGGCCCCTTTTTCTCACTCACGCTCTCTCTTTTTTTTTTTCATTTTTTTTTTAAATAAGCTGCTGCCTAAAAAAGGCAGCAGCTTCCTGCCTTAGTTAGGCCTTAACCGTTGCCTTTTAAGGCAGCGAACTTGTTGCCTTAAAAGGTAGCATTTTAATTACTGCCATAATATATTTATTTATTATTTTTTTTTTATACAAGGGCTCGTGGGTCGGCTCGGGCAAAGCCCATGTCTCAAAAATAGGGTTTGAATCTATCGAGCCCCGAGCCGAGTTGGCTCGGGCTTTTTGCGGCCTGAGTGATGAGCCCGATTGACATCCTAATGATGATGAATCCGGAAAATAGAGAAAGGGAGAGAGCGAAAATAGCTATGTTTTTAGACAGATCTGGGAGGCATAACCTGCGATTTACCTTCCTCACGATACTTCAGGGTAGGAGCGGTGGGGGACCCTTAAGATTGGGGTTCAACCTTTTTTTTGAAACAAATGAACCCAAATACTTAATAGGCAATAGATGGCCCACATATATACATTGAAATGCCTTAATGTCACAATATTCTGTTCGTACTTCACGACCAACCCATAAATCTATTTCTTTAACATCTGCACAAAGTATTTTATGCTTGTTGCAATTTTATTTTTATACTTTGCAGACCGGAGAATGAGGCGATGGAGCTCAAGCTAACTTCGAGTGATCTGAACAGTGGGAGAAAGGCAGCAGGAGGTGAGTTGTTTCATTCTTTACCTACCGGAAAACCAGGCAAAACAACATCCGGGTCACCAGTTAAACTGTCTATTTAATGCTTTTTAACCAGTTTTGTTCCTGTTTTTGAACCTGTGCTTTCTACCAATAACCGAACCGGTTTTCCAGCCGATTCTTGATTTTCCCTGTTGAACTGGCCAGTCCAATCCAGTCCAGTTTTTCAAACATAGGAAAATGGAGATAGTTATGGTGGTATAAGTATGAAATAGAACCGAACCCACTATCAGAATAATTGAAGTCAGTTTGGCGCCAAATGTTTCTGATTAGTTTGCTTAGCTGTCAATTAGCTGGATGTTATAAACTATCTTTCCCGCCATTTTTCTTCTTCCTATTTAACGTGATTGTACATAACATTTTCAGTAAAATGAGATATTTTTCCATTTCTCAATTTCCTCTTCTCCTTTAATATGGTATCAGAGCAGAGGCTTCCTTAGCTTCGCAATTTGCTCAATTTGATCCGTCATGGCAAAAAAGGGAGATCTAGCTTCATCTTCCATTTTGGCTTCATCTTCATCAATGAATCATTCTTCCATTGACGATGTCTCCAGTCCATATTACCTTCATCACTCAGACAGTCCTGGTATAGTTCTAGTTTCACAGCAGCTAACTGGTGAAAATTATGCTACCTGGAATCGAGCCATGACCATAGCATTAAAGGTGAAAAATAAATTCGATTTTGTTGATGGATCGATTACTCGAGCTGAAGACAACACTGAGTTGCTTAATGCCTGGATCTGCAACAACAACATCGTCATCTCTTGGATTCTTAATTCCGTAACAAAGGAAATTTCAGCTAGCATCATCTATTCGGAATCTGCTCACGAGATTTGGAGAGATCTCAAGGAGAGATTTCAGCAGAGGAATGGTCCTCGAATCTTCCAATTAAGGCGTGAATTGATGAATTTGACACAAGGACAGTCATCTGTTAGTGCTTATTTTACCAAATTGAAATCAATTTGAGAAGAATTAAGCAATTAAAAGCCATCATGTACCTATGGAAAATGCGAAGGTGGTGGTAACAAAAAATTGGCAAATCATTATCACATGGAGTATGTCATGTCATTCCTAATGGGATTGAATGACTCTTATGCACAGGTCAGGGGGTAGTTGCTGCTCATGGATCCAATTCCATCGCTAAATAGGGTGTTTTCACTCATTTCACAGGAGGAACATCAGAGGTGTTGATTATTGAAGACTATTGGTTTTCTTCACATGATGAAATATGAAGAGTGTTGGAGAGGAAGATGAAGAGATGGATGCATTCACCATCATTATTAGTCATTATTAGTCTTCGTAATTGTGTGACTCTTAGTAGTCTTATGCTATCCTATAAATAGGTTTGTCATGTACTCAAATCAAATAATTCATATATAAAAAAAAGTTTCTCTAAAAATATGCTTTGTTCTGTTCTTATTACTGAACTGATCCGGTCTTGATAGAATCTATCCTTATTTCCGCTGCATACTAAAATCACAATCAGAACAAACATTTGGTATCAGTGCTCTCCTGATCTTAAAGGCCTGTGAGAAAGAGGAAAAATGGCAAATTCTACTCTAGCTTCAATGCCTATCCCCATGATGTTTGGAGGCGAAAACTATGAGTATTGGTCTGTCAGAATGAGGGCTTTCTTGATGGCACATGATCTATGGGAGATTGTTGAAGAAGGTTATACTCCACAGGAGTTGGATGCAGACCCTACTGTGAATCAAATGAGGCAAGAGAAGGATCGTAGAATAAAAAATATGAAGGCTCTTACCTTCTTGCACTCTTCTGTCACTGAGACAATTTTTCCCAAGATTGTGGCTGTTACAACAACAAAAGAGGCTTGGGATAAATTACAAGAAGAGTACAAAGGGTCTGAGCAAGTGAAAGCAGTAAGATTGCAAACTTTGAGCAGAGAGTTTGAAAATCTAAGGATGAAGGATGCTGAATCCGTAAAGGACTACTCTTCTAGAGTGGCTAATGTGGTGAATCAGCTTAAATTGAATGGAGAGGACGTACCAGACAAAAGAGTGGTGCAAAAAATGTTGATTACCTTACCCGAAAAGTTTGATGCTGTTACCACGGCTATAGAGCATACAAAGGATCTGTCAAGTCTTTCTTTAACTGAACTTACAGGTGCTTTGTTAGCCTATGAGCAACTTGAAAAGAAATATGCTGTGCATTTTCGAGATATGAAATGCAAAATCTATGATCCTCATGATATTGAAATTGCTAGTTTGCCTATGCATAATAGAAGTTTTAGCATTCAATGGCATAGCTTAATTGCAAATATGTCTAGAGTTCATGTGGATGAATCTGATTTGTGGCATAGAAGATATGGTCATTATAATTACAAGTCTTTGTCATATGTGCATTCTCATGGCATGGTGAGAGATTTGCCTAAAATTCATGAATCTGGAGGAGTATGTGAGAGCTGTAGTTTGGGGAAAATGCATAAAGAGTCATTTTCTAATGATGGTGCATAAAGGGCATCTGGAAAATTGCAGCTTGTGCATACTGATATTTGTGGTCCCATGAAAACTCCATCCTTGAGTCATAATTTGTATTTTGTGCTATTCATTGATGACTTTACAAGAATGTGTTGGGTGTACTTCATGAGAAACAAGTCAGATGTGTTCAAAAAATTCAAGAATATGTTAGAGGCACAATCTGGATGTAAAATTCAGACCTTGAGATCGGATAATGGCAAGGAGTATACATCTACCAACTTCAATCAATTCTGTGAGGATTATGGAGTTCATCGACAACTTACCATTCCCTACACTCCGCAACAAAATGGAGTGGCAGAAAGGAAAAATAGATCTGTCATGGAGATGGCCAGATGTATGCTAGCTGAGAAGGGACTTCCAAATTCGTTTTGGGCAGAAGCAGTTTATACTTCCGTTTATTTGCAAAATAGGTTGTCTACAAAAGCTGTGAAAAATATTACACCTATTGAGGCATGGTGAGGAATGAAACCTACAGCCAAGCATCTGAAAGTTTTTGGGTCTTTGTGCTATGTTCATGTCCCAGATCAGAAAAGAAGCAAGTTGGAGCAAAAGGCTGTGAAGGGGATTTTTATTGGCTATAGTTCACAGACAAAGGGCTATAAAATCTATCTTCCAGAAACTGTAAAAGTTGTGATATCCCGTGATGTAAAATTTGATGAAAGTTCTAAGTGGAATTTTAATGAAACCAATACACGGCAACATGTAGCAGTTTTTCCTCCTATCCCAGTGGAAACTTCAACTCCAACACTAGAAGTTCAGTCTTCCGAGATAGAATCTATCGCACCTACTGCAGAAAATTCTGAATCTTCAAGATCTAGTTCGGCTCCTAGAGGAACTAGATCTTTGAATGAGATTTATCAGAGGTGTAATATGGCAGTGGTTGAAAAAAATATGCTTTGTTCTGTTCTTATTACTGAACTGATCCGGTCTTGATAGAATCTATCCTTATTTCCGCTGCATACTAAAATCACAATCAGAAATGGAGATAATTCATAAAAATCAGACTTGGGAATTGGTACCTCATCCTGATGAAAGAAAAGTGATTGGAGTGAAGTGGATTTACAAGGCAAAAATGAATCCAAATGGCACGGTGAACAAATACAAAGCAAGGTTAGTTGCTAGAGGATTTGCACAAGAAAGTGGTGTTGATTATTTTGAGACCTTTGCACCGGTTGCAAGGTTTGACACCATTAGATTATTGATTGCACTAGCAGCACAAAAGAAGTGGAAGATACATCAGTTGGATATAAAATCCGCATTTCTCAATGGTGAACTGGAGGAGGATGTTTTTGTTGAACAACCTGAAGGTTTCCAGTCTAGAATCTATCCTGATCATGTATGCAAGCTGAAAAAGGCCTTGTATGGTTTGAAACAGGCGCCAAGAGCTTGGTACAACAAAATAGATGGTTATCTATGCGCTAAAGGATTCAGGAGGAGTGAAAATGAACATACTCTTTATGTGAAGAGTGATGAAAATTCTGATATCCTGATTCTATCCATGTATGTGGATGATTTACTCATCACAGGAAACAGTAAAAAGCAAATTGATTTGTTTGCTGATAAATTGAAGGAAGAATTTGAGATGACAAATCTTGGAAAGATGAAATATTTTTTGGGCATTGAGGTTGAGCAAACAGAAAATGGTATTTTCATTTCACAAAAGAAATATGCAAGTGATATCTTGAAGAGGTTGAAGATGCAGCAGTGTAAACCAGTGGATACACCAGTTGCGTTGAACACAAAATTATCCAAAGAAGATGGAGACCAGCCAATCAATGAGAAGGAATATAGGAGTCTTGTTGGAAGTTTACTGTACTTGACAGCAACAAGACCAGATTTGATGTTTGCGAGAAGCTTACTTTCTAGATTCATGAGCAAGCCATCACAAACACATTTTGGAGTTGCCAAAAGGGTCCTTAGGTATATCAAAGGAACAATAAATCATGGCATCTATTTTGCTGGAGTAGTTGGCTCAAATTTGATTGGATATTCAGATAGTGATTGGGCAGGTTCTGTGGATGATATGAAGAGCATGAGTGGTTATCTATTTACACTTGGTTCGGGAGTATTCTGTTGGAATTCAAAGAAACAAGAAGTAGTGGCACAATCCATAGCAGAAGCTGAATATATTGCAGCATCATCAGCTGTAAATCATGCCGTTTGGTTGAGGAAAATTCTTAATGATCTTGCGAAAAGTCAAGATGATCCTACAACTATCATGGTGGATAATCAATCAGTCATTGCTGTTGCAAAGAATGCAATTGATCATGGAAGAACCAAGCATATTAAAGTGAAGTTCCATGCTATCAGACAAGCTGAGAAAGATGGAGAAGTTCATCTCCAATATTGTCCAGGTGAATCTCAAATTGCAGATATGTTCACTAAAGCATTGCCCAAATCCAGGTTTGAAGATTAAGAGTGAAGATTGGAGTTTTACCCAAAAGCTTCAAGGAGGAGAATGTTGATTATTGAAGACTTTTGATTTTCTCCACATGATGAAATATGAAGAGTGTTGGAGAGGAAGATGAAGAGATGGATGCATTCACCATCATTATTAGTCATTATTAGTCTTCATAATTGTGTGACTCTTAGTAGTCTTATGCTATCCTATAAATAGGTTTGTCATGTACTCAAATCAAATAATTCATATATAAAAAAAAGTTTCTCTCAAAATATACTTTGTTCTGTTCTTATTATTGAACTGATCCGGTCTTAATAGAATCTATCCTTATTTCCGCTGCATACTAAAATCACAATCAGAACAAACAAGAGGGCTATTAACCTGAATGTTGGATCTACTGGTTCCTTAGCCTTTTATGCTAGAAATGAAGTGAAGAGAACAGGTATGGGCCAGCCACCTCACGGCAGGAATCAAAAGAAGGAGAGACCAACTTGTACATATTGTGGATATGAAGGACATGTGATTGATAGATGTTATAAACTCCATGGATATCCACCTGGATACAAGCTAAAATAGAAACCTGGTTCACGCAATTACACAGGTTTTAATCCCCACTCAAATAATAATGTTGCTAATCAAATCTCTTGTTCTGTTTCAAACCAATCTCAGGGCAATACTGGGAATTTTATGCAAACCTTGAACCATGATCAGTGCCAACAGTTGATGAGTATGTTGAGCACACACCTCACAACTTCTAAGATGGATGATGAAGTAGCTAATGTTGATGATGTGTCAGGTACAGTTTTATCTGTTTCCATTAATCAAGTCCTTAATTCTCCTAGGCATTGGGTGTTAGATTCAGGGGCAACTAGTCATGAATGCTTCAACCGTGCATGCTTTCACACATTAAAGGCTGTGCAAGATGCATATATTACATTGCCTAACCATGCCAGGATTCGTGTGAATTTTGTTGGACATATTAAACTTACTCCTGACTTGGTGCTGGAAGATGTGTTATATGTGCCCCAGTTCAAGTTCAATTTGCTGTCCAGTAGTGCACTGACCAAAAGGTCTTCTATAAGCATCAAGTTTCTTACTGATGGCTGTGATATTCAGGATCTATGCAGCTTGAGGATGATTGGCAAGGGTAGACGGATTGGTGGACTTTACATCCTAGATAGCACAATGAAATATGGATGTAATAGTGTCAAACATATCTGTAATTCTGATTCTGTTGTAATGAATAATGTGGATTCATATACTTGGCATAATAGACTTGGTCACTTGTCTTTTAAAAGGCCAGCTGGTTTGAAGGACCAATTACATTTTAAATGTAATAAGGGTAATGAAGATGTCCCTTGTTCTATCTGTCCTCTTGCTAAATAAAGGCATTTATCGTTTGTTTCAAACAATCACTTATCTTCCAATGCATTTGATCTTGTTCATGCTGACACTTGGGGTCCATATAGTTCACCAACGCGTGAAGGTCACAGATACTTTCTCACTTTAGTTGATGATTGTATAAGGTTCGCTTGGGTCTATCTCATTAAGCAAAAATCAGATGTTCTTGCAATCATTCCTAAGTTTTTTTGTCTGGTTGAGACACAATTTATTAAGGTCATTAAAGCCTTCA